GTTCAAATCATTTGAGTTAAACTTCATTATAAAATTTTACAGTGTAATGCAAGCCAGCATAACTAACAAACACTCCTGGATGGACCTCGAAACATATTCAGAAAAATGGAGTGAAAGCCTCCAATTTTTACATTACTGTATAAAAACTCAAACTTAACGTTATTCCTGACATTTTGAATTGATCAAACCTTTCTGGATGGGAAGCGAAACATCTTCAAACTTTGAAACAAAGTCCAGTGGATTGTTTTTAATTTTCTTTTTTTTTTTTTTATGGCTATGACCTGGATGACCGAGAACCTTCACCAGCAGCTGTAACTTATATGATCTTCCAAGCTGAGATGTCCTTGTAGTTAAAAAAAAATTCTATCTGCGTGGTGTGGAAACTCAGGCTGTGCGGACTCCTGTGCAGAGGCGCAATGGTGCTAAAATTAAGTAATTTTTCCAGATGGGCAACCCTTAACCTGGCTTAAGTTAGAGTGATGTGCAGCATTAGTTGCAAGCTGACCTCCTCTGACCACATACCCCATCCCTAAAACATGCTGGAAAAAAGCACTGCTAATAATCCTGCATTCCTGCATGATCATTTGAAAGTATGCCAAAAGATTTTGTTTGGTCTTATCTGACAGATTCAAAAGATTTGCTGTGTCTCCTGAATGACTCCAAAGAGGACTACATATGATTCTCTCAGTTGAAATGAACTATTTCCATGTGGTTATTGCAGGTATACTCTTTTCATTGGTGTCTCCATTGGTTTGATCATACCATTGTCCAGAAGTGACAGTTAAAACATGTCCAACAATCCTATCCTGATTGTGGAAGTTGAGTCACAAACAACCAGCACAAACACAGCACTCCTCTGGCAATGTGATCAAAAGCTCTCCCTATGAAAATAACAGAGCAGGGATTATAAACGACTGTTTAATAGGATTAATCCAAAATTGCATGATTGGGGTTTCTGCTGGGGGAATACCACAGAATACCCTGTGGAGGCAACCTAAAGACACACAAGGAGGTACACTTGTGGAGGTTTGACTAAATCAGAGTACTAATTTTTTTTGTTGGAGTGAGGGAACATTTCTATGATGGGGAGAAAAGAAAAAGAAAAAAAAATAGTCACTGTATTTCAAAGCACCTTAAACTGGCTGGCTCTTTAACCCATTACAGCAATGGTAAAAGGAGAGGAAACCCTGCCATGTCTGCGTCCTTACCTTGGATACTTTGCAGCCAAGCTGACGTTTGCTGTGAATTCCTACGTCCGGGCCATGACAGAATAAATGATACTTAAGTGGCATAAAATTGTCCACCCTGTGGTCTGTACCTCGTTGCTTCCTTCTCGTCTTCTTTCAAGCCTCCCACCACCCTGCAACCCTCTTCTCCCTGCAGCCTGCTGATCCACGGTAAAGCGTGAGGGAGCAGCTAGAGACAGCAGCATCAGCAGCAGAGTCGTTTCTGTCTTAGGATTGTCCACACACGCGTGCACACACTGAGAGCCTTCCTAATTGGCTTGTTCCAACAACCAGGAATGACTAATAAATCAAGGGACTGGAATCACCTCCTGTGCTCCATTGATCCAGTAAGAGGACAGCAAGCAGAGGCAGAGAGTGCAAGAACGTGTGAGAGAGGGAAGAAATAGTGTGTGAGGGAGACAGTGATCGAGAGCAGAAAGAGAGAGAGGGAAACGGAGGGAGGGAAGGAGAGCATTCTGTGTGTCAGCTCATTTGTATTCAATGCTTGTTTTGCCTCTTCATCCCTGCTTTTCTCCATCCCTCTATCTATCTTCTCCATTTATCTACAGTTCATCTCTCCATCCGTTTCCATTCCTCAGCTCTTCTTGGCTGTGAACCTGACCCAGACAGGGGAGAAAAGAGTGATGAAAGACTTCTGCAGAAGTGGCAAGAGAAAAGGAAGAGAGTTAATGACACATGGCTACTGATACAGCAATGCAGGAGCAGATGCTACACCACAGAGCACACAAAGACAAAGGTTGGCAACTGCACATAGGACATACACATCTTTCGCTATAGAGTATCAATAAAGCTATAGCGCTTCACAAGCTGTTATGATATAAAATCTAATTAAGATACATTCTATTGCTGCATGTTTCATGTTTTCTGCATAAGTCATTGTGAATAAATCATCGTTGCAAGATCAGTGTTTTCTGCATCAGTAACCCAAACAGACAACTTGAACTGCAATAATTGTTTGCAAATACGTCTGAGCACTGCATGAGAGTTACAGCGTTGCCAATGTTTCTTTCTGTTTCGCTCACACAGGATTCCACTAACTACTTAAAGCCCGCAAAAGGCTGTGTGGGTTTTTAATATACAGCTAATCAAAAACAAGTCAAAGACAGTAGCAGAAAGCAGTGCAGTGTCTCCTTGAACCCCAGTCGGCCTCGGCAGATGGCCACTCACACTAAGCCTAGTTCTGCTGGAAGTTTCTTGCTGTTAAAAGAGAGTTTTTCCTCTCCAGTGTCGCTACAAGCATGCTTAGTGTGAGGGATTGCATTCGAGTTGATTATTTGATGCAATAAACTGGTTTTCCTTAGTTAAAAAGCTTTTAATCAATTTGACTGTATGATCTGGTGAACTGTAAAGTGCCTTGAGATGACATTTGTTGTGAATTGGCACTATATAAATAAACTGAGTTTAATTTAATTAAATTTTTGGAAGAAAATTGAGTCTAAGGGAGTCTGGGCTTCCAGTCAACAACCACTCTCACCCAGATAGATCGATCAGTCCATCCATCCATCCATCCATCCATCCATCCATCCATCCATCCATCCATCCATCCATCCATCCATCCATCTATCTATCTATCTATCTATCTAT